ATTATTTGTATTTCATCAAAATGTGGCATTATTGGTAAGGTGAATGCATTTGCAAGGCACCTATAATTATTACTAGTTATGGAAGAGTTGAATTAGTAGTTATTTCAATCATAAAAAGAATGATTGAAAAATTATTTTGTAATTTTCATAAAACTTTTTTCTAGTGACAAATGTTTTAGAAATATATAAAGTATGCATTTGTGAGTACATTTTGTTTTTCAATAATATATATGTAAGACATATATTTTTTCTTTCTAATAGCGTGATGTGTTTAACCTACTTCTCATACATGCTACCCTTAAGTCTTCTAACAGCCATCATCATAGTCTAGCTCAGTAAGTGATTAATTCTTGTTTTATGTAAATATATTGATGTTGATTTATCTTTTGTATCAAAGTTGAAAATGTATGTGGTAGAGTACAGTTTTAGTTTTTATAAAGCTATCATTGGACATAACTTTGATCCAAAGAAACTCTGATTCAATTAATTTTATTATATAAAACATTGTTAATTAGTTTATGAGCACAGAAACAATTTAAACATTGATATAAATGAAGCATCATTTACTGAGATCCATGCCGATTTTTTATGCTACTTCATCTTAATGCACTGGATCAGGAATTTCTGTTAAAATTTAAATCGAAATACTGTACTGTGATTTTATATTACATATTGCTTTGCTATACACTCTAACACTCTTCATAAAAAAAATCAGTTTGCAGAAAGAATATGCACATCAGTTTGACTTTGATAAAATTATAATATGAATGATTTTAGGCTTAAGCTTTAGCTAGTAGTAATTTTATTATATTATTACAAGAAGGTAATTACCTAAAGCAAGCATGAAATTTGTAAAAAAGAATGTATTAATTTGTTTTATATCTAATGTATAAAACTCTTATGGCAGTTTTAACAAGGAGCTATTAGCATACAGTTAACCTTGTTAGATATATCCTTTTCTAATCAAAACAAAGTAATATTTGTCTTGGACTAATTTTATCGTTCTGATTTCAATGTACTATAATGTGGATGTTTGTTTTGTGGTGTTAAGAACCATTAAATATATGTAACAATAAAATATTACAAGCATTGATTACTTTTATTTTAGGAGCCTTTTGTATGAACGAAAAGCTTTAAAAGAAGGTTCACCTATGACAGATCGTCTTATGGCAAGAGTTTTGGCTTTGCATCTGTCATGAGAATTCTAATATCTTGGTTAGTTCAATCAGCAAGCAACTTTTATGAAATAAATAATCGTGAAATAAGAATATATACTAGACATAGCCATTCAAATATGTTTATACATAAACTGAATGTAACATTTAGATAGATATACACTTAAATTTGTAATGCATTTATGTTTAAACAGATATTGTAATCAACTTAAATAAAGATTTTTATATATTTTGATATAATTATCCTGTTTGATAAATTATCCTATTTATCATTTACACTCTTAATAAATATTTTTCCATGGCCTGTATGTAATTTTTATATAACAACATTTAAACACTGTTTAAGATACCACATCTTCTGCAATGCTTCAGTTTTTTTTTAATCATGTTATGTTTTAAGAACAAATCATATCTACAGTTACAGGCTCCTAACATATTCGGTGTGATTATTAGTTCATAGCAAAGAAGAATTTTATCTATTAGTAAATTCCGATATAATCTTGATCTTTCAAATAGAAAATTGTTTTGTTTGCTTTGTCGTATATTCAAGTCAAACTATGATAGGTTCTCTAAATAACTGGAGATTCAACAAGATATTTATTACAGAATAGCTCTAAATTCCTCTAAATAAGAAGTTTTTTGAAAACAAGATAATAAGAGTGCACACAATGTAAGGTACAAATGACCAATCTATGTTATAACTCAAAGAATATGAACTTGCATTCCTGAAAAAATGGATGGTCACTTTTACTGGGTCAGCTACCTGACTAACTTCCTTGAGATTGTATATCATAAATGTAAATCCAACATTCCTTACTTAAGCATATAAGTATAGGAGTGGACCAAAGTGCACGTGCCACATACTTGTACAGAGTACCATTCAACATGCTATTATGCTGTTAACTGAAACTTCTTGGTTAAGAGCTTGAATATCACGAGTGGTCTCATGCAGAACGTCACGATTGAGGTTGTCATCCTGATTGTGTTGAACTTCAGGAAGGCCAAATGATGGAAGCTCTTTTCCTCCGAGAGAGAACACTTTGCCTCAATGGCAATAAGTGCCAAGTTAAAAATGGTATCATTGTAGCTAACTTCTATATTGGGATTTAGTAGTTGAGCCTTCTGACAGATCTTCTCTGTGATTTTCCCACAGGGCAACTGGATTTGAAACACCACAAACTTGCAGCAAAACAGCAAACAAATTTTGAGGTTGGCTGGTGATTGTGAAACTGTTTCTTCTGTCAGAGTGGACTTCCACTGTGCATCGTCTTCAAGAATGCCTCGCTTCAAACACGCTTCTCTATAGGTGGCACCGAGCTGACCTTGGACAATACACAAATCTTCAAAGGATGTCAGACCTTTCACGTCATGAAGCAGCATACGAAGGTAAAAACACTCTTGCTGGCTGGGATGAACAATATTGACTATTGCCAAGGCTTCACCTTTAAAACCCCAGGATGACAATCTACAGGAGTACCTCTTTTTCTCCTAATCCATTTGTTGTTATTCCAAGTGTAAAAAGACGAGACCCCAGAATAAAGTAATGAGTGTGCAAAGGGATCTTATAGACACAGGTTGAAGAATCCAGTCAGTGTTTGGAGCCATTGCTTGTTGCAAAGCATTTTCTTCAATGAAGTAGACTCTCTGTCCATTTTCTAGGTGGGATGTCGCTCGTGAATTGGAAATCCCAAAATGTGCCAAAATGCTTCATTGCTACTAATGCACCTTCCCAGTTGGAACTGAGTTACTTCATCATTTGTGTTCTGGTCTTGATGTGAATACATAGGAGCGTCAGATCCCCTGTTGACATACTTGCACACATATTTGATTGACTGGGTTACGAAACTCAACATTGATGTGTGCATCACAGGTCTTTGACAACAGGGAACAATAAGGCACTATCCATAAATTGTCATTGTCAACATCCTGACCATATCTCATTTTTATTGTGGCTGTAAATTCTCCATCTTCAGGCTTTCTCCTTCTGTAGAGAGGATATCCATCTTCACCAGTTTGGGTCTTTTTTATCAGTTGCCCGGGATACTTTTTGTCGAAAAACTCTGGCCAACAAATCTTGTCAGTCCTTCGCAGACTGTCCTGGGAAAAGCTCATCATTCACCTCTTTCCAAGAAGGATTGCAGGTGAAAGTGATGAAGAGATCTGGCATTCCATAACTTCTGACATAGGTCATGACATTTTGAGTTTAGTCATGCATGTACCTTGAGCTTCCTGTGAAAGTGAATGGGAGAATGCACAGCTGACTAATGCCTCTGCCTCTATCTTCATCTTTGTTGATGCTATCTCTAAGATGATTGTAGGAGTCAACACACAATTCTTGTTGGTATGTTTTCTGTACATCAACCTTTCCATCTCCACCTTTGCATACATATCAACAGCATACTGTTGGAACGGATATTGACAACGTTACAAATGGCTGAAGTAATTATTTCGAATCATGAAGTTGTAGGCATAGAAATCGATACATGACACAGTTTTTGTTCCTTGAGCTTGTGGAATTACAAAGTGGTGTCCATCTTCTCCATGCACACATATAAGCGGATACTGAAGGGCATCATAAAATCTATGTGTCTCATTTATCCTCTTTATGGTGTTATCTCGAAGTTTTAAGACAATGTCTCTTTTTCCATGTTCCAGGCCATTCATGACCAAGGCAACCTCATTGCAAGTTGGCTCATTGAATCAACCACAATGTTCTCCATATGGTAGTTTATCAGCATTTATCACTATCCGGTAGTCCAAAGTAGGAGCACTTTCAAGTGCATATTTAAAGCTTTGTACATAATAGTACAAAATAGAGTTATAGAAACTGTGGATGTTCTTCTGCATGCAGTTGGAGTGATAGATGGTAGATTTGTCCGTGTACTTTAAATGTTGGCATAAATACCCTTTCGGGGACGATGTTGGCTCCAAAAGATGTCATTTGAAATGCTGAGTTGTATGCTCTGATCATCTTTAGGAAATGTTTTGTATCTGGTGTGTCACCTAGGAGCAGCATTTTCAATGGTTGTGGTGGCTTGGCTAGTAGAGTTGAGCTAACTTTACCATTGGAACAACACCTTGATGGTGTTTCACGTTTCCACTTCTCTGCTACACAATGTTGGCATGGTTATGAAATGGAACCAATTTTGACTGCATTTATAGAAAAATAGTCAATGTCAGCTGAGTAAATGAATAAAGCATTTAGCATATTGGCCACAGTAAATAGTGATGCCCTTTGCCTCAGCAGACTCTAGTTGTCTGGTTTTTGAATGCCTAGTGACATCAGCAGTGAAGTGAGCCTGATGCTGTTCTTCTGTTTCCTTCAGTCTGCTCCTTTTTTGTTTGGAGGCCTGAGCACTCAGGTAAGCCTGATGCTGCCTTTCTGTTTCCTGTAACCTGCCCCTTGCATGCCTTGTGGCATCAGCACTGAGGCGGGCCTGATGCTGCACTTCTGTTTCCTGCAGCCTGCTCCTTGCTTGTCTTGAGGCCAGAGAACTGAAATGGTGTGGCGCTGCTCTTTTGTTTCCCGCTGCCTGCTATGTGCCTGTCTGGAGGCCTGAGAACTGAGGCAGGCCTGACGCTGCTCTTCTGTTTCCTACTGCCTGCTATGTGCCTGTCTGGAGGCTTGTGCACTGATGCGAGATTGATGTTCCTTCAGCTGTCTCTTGACCCTTGTTTCTCGAACTCTGCAAGCTTTTGTAGAGCTTCTGCCAATATTGTTTTCGTTTCTTTGGTCCCATCTTGAGGTGGAGTTTCGTATAATACTGGTTTACAGCAGTAACACTTATTGAACAATCATTGCTGGAAGTTTAATATCGAATCTGAAACGGAAAATTGAATACAGGTCTTATATAGCCTGCATTGTGACATTCAAGTAGTATGGAGAGATTTCTAGAATCTTCAAGAAGTCTTGAAATCAGTAGCTTGAATTGCTACATTCAAGTAGTATGGTGAGATCTCTAGAATCTTCTAGAAGTTTTGAAATCAGTTGTGACAGTAATTCAAATCAGTGGAAGGGAAATTTTGTTTGGAGATGACTCTGAACATTCTAGAAACTTCTAACATTCTGAAATTGAGCAAGGTGATGAATAGCTGTTATGCAAACTGAACATGTTTGGGCAGTTGTAGTATGTTTGAAATTGATTTTCATAGTGATTTCACTAATTTTTGACGATGAAGACTGTCATTTTCACCAGTTTTGCCTTATTTTGTATCCTTGCGAAATCAGATGGCCTCGAAAGTGAAATCCAATGTGTTCATAACATTCTGGATGAAAAGTTAGTCCTAATGAACCTATTTTGACATTTGTAGAGTGGTCCATATCGATTTGTATTGGGAATAAACAAATAAAAAGACAAACAAACAAACAGACATACATTCACAGATTTATAATAGATTATATTTTATTGTGTACAACAAACTATACTGTTTTTAGCATAAGCACTTTATTAAACATGCTGTTTTATTGTATGCTACAGAATTGTACTGTTTACTAAAAGCTTCCAGATATTTTGAAGATACAGTAAGTTAATTCCAAGTTCTATCATTTATAGCTTCATGATATAACAAAGTCGGTCATGTCTAGTCCAATGAGAAGTTCAACTTTTTTGCCTTACAAGAAGTCCCTTACTTCGTAGATTGCTACTGATAACGTTCTGTGACAAATTTTGAAGAACACGATAGCCAGCGTGGTCCATAACGTGACCTTAAGTACCAAAGGTAGAGAGTGATAACGCCAGGTTAGTGATATATAAGTGCTTAAGAGTTTAGCAAGGTGTGTAGGTTGAAGGGTTTCATAACCTGATGGTTAAAACTATTAATCAGCGGTAAAATTACATTCAAGAAACCGTTGATTAAGCCACACTTCCGTGGCATTCACCTGTGTATTATATGAAACACAACCTGTATAACGTGTATCCCCAATTGCCTTTGAATGGGTCCATCCACAGGCCTCCACGTAATCAATACTCAGTTAATTGTGCTACAGCTACAGACAAAGGGCTGCACATATTCAGAAATGTGGTCCCTACACGTGTACACTGACTCAGATTTGGTATAACTACTCTTTTCTCTTGACCATTGTAAACAACCACCAATCCATTGTCTTTACTTGGGGACTTTCCCTCAGTTACAAGTCGCTTCAGGATTGCCACTTTTCGTGCTCCCTTCTACTGTTGCAGCATGCACGTCATGACTGGTCCTTTTACTGAAACAAAATTAAGAAATACT